ACTTCAACTCCCAGAATCCCCCAGCCAGCTGGCTGGGGGATTCTGGGAGTTGAAGTCCACAGGACTTAAAGTCACCAAGGTTGAGAAACACTGTCCTAAAACCTGATTTCCAATTCTGATCCACTACCCTTCATTTGTTGGCCTCCCATGAAAAGGCCAGACCTACTCTTCAGCTGTAGCCAGAACTGAATTCAGTCTTGAACTATAATTATTCCGGAGATGAGTTTCCCTATTTGGGTCAAAACTATTATTGTAATTGGTAGCATGTGGCACGAATTCTTTCATCTGAATTACAGGCACACCTTGTTTATCCGCACGTAACTTTGTCAAGCTGTGGCTGACTCGCCCTACTCATTCTGTGCTCAAGTTGTTCACATTAGCCAGGAGCATGGCTGCTCTTTCAGGCTCACAAAGGTGGTGTTTTTTATATCATTTGCATTTTCAGAACATCTAAACTAGGACCCAGGGTCATAAAGGTGCTCTCCAAACCCCTTTCCCTTCTTTGTATCCTTATGCTGAAGTCAGAGGTGGTATTCAGCAGGTTCCGATCAGTTCTGGAGAACCGGTAGCAGAAATTTTGAGTAGTCTGGAGAACCGGTAAATACCACCTCTAACTGGCCCCGCCCCCATCTATTCTCTGCCTCCTGAATCCCAGCTGATCTGGAGGAAATGGGATTTTGCAGTAACCTTCCCCTGGAGTGGGGAGGGAATGGAGATTTTACAGTATCCCTTCCCTGCCATGCCCACCAAGCCGCCACACCATACCCACTAAGCCACGCCCACAGAACTGGTAGTAAAAAAAATTGAATCCCACCACAGCTGAAGTACAATAAACTGAACATAAGTTAGACAGCCATTTCCCAGAACTTTGGCTGGTACCACATTTGTCTGAGAACAAATATATCCTTTGGAATTCAGGATATAGTTTTTAACCATTCTATTGTATAACACAGAAAAAAGAAGGAAGGAGCGAGGACCAAAATAAAATTACATCCAGATCTTATGGTAGACAAGACATGTATCCTTATTAAGCTGAGCAATGGTTAAAATTCCCGCCTCTAGGAATATACCTTTATAGGTGGTCCTCGATTTACGACCACAGTTGCATCCCAAATATCCATTACTCAGCAAGGCAGCTGTTAAGTGAGTTTTGCCGCACCTTACAACCTTTTTCCCCACTGTTGTTAAGCGAATCATTGCAGTTGTTAAGGGAATCAAGTAGTCATTAAACAAATCTGGCTTCCCCTACCCCTACTGACTTTGCTTGTCAGAAGCCAGCTGGGCAGGTTACAAATCAGTGGTGGGATTCAATAATTTTTACTACCGGTTTTGTGGGCGTGGCTTGGTGGGCATGGCAGGGGAAGGATACTGTAAAATCTCCATTCCCTCCCCACTCCAGGGAAAGGATACTGCAAAACCCCCATTTCCTTCTGATCAGCTGGGACTTGGGAGGCAGAGACTAGATGGGGTGGGGCCAGCCAGAGGTGGTATTTGCCGGTTCTCTGAACTACTCAAAATTTCTGCTATCAGTCCTCCAGTACTGGTCAGAAGCTGCTGAATCCCACCTCTGTTACAAATGGTGATCTCATGGCACTAAGAAGCTGCCAGGAACCTGAATTTTGATCATGTGATGCTGAACCCCGCGTAACTGTGAAAAATGGTCAGAAGTAACTATTTTCACTGCCCTCGTAACTTTGAAAGAGCACTAAACAAGTGTTCGTAAGTGGAAGACTCAATAGGTTGAAAATTGTTCTAGTTCTGCCAACAACCATGTTTTCTTCACAACACGGGATTATTCCTAACAGTTTTTTTTCAGCATGAAGAGTGCATGAAGGAAGTTATCTAGTGGCACATGATTTGTGGCAAAAATCACTCTACTTTCAAGATGGAAACCTTGGCAGCAAAGTGTCTCAAACTATTTTGAATTTCAAACCTAAATTTTTCATCATTCTTGCCCTAGTTAGAATTCGGTTTTCATGTTTCGAAACATTTGTACATCACCCAGGATCTCTCTGTCAAGGAGACGGGTAGTTTCTAAATGCGATCAATAAATACAATAAAAATGGATAGATTAGCTCTTACATTTTGAAAGCGTTCGAAGCCTTTGAGTTCAAAAACTTTTTTTACCTCCCTTGCAAATATTGTACGTGGGTATGTGGAGATCATCTTTATCAGTGGGGACAGGCGGGAAATGATATCATTTTAAAGCTATTTCATTTAGCTATAACATTACAGTTAATAACTGTTTTCTCAATAAATGTTAATTGTAATGCTGCTAAAAATGAATTTAAAAATAGATGAGCGGAAAGACGGCATTTTGTCCAATTTAGTGATTCTCTTTTTTTCTCTCTTTTTAATTGCTCAGATGGTGCAGACTTCCTGGAACCAACCTAATGCAGCATTAAAAGAAAAGAAGGAAAATGCTAAACAAGAAACACTTAGGCCTTTAGCTTCCTCTAGGAAAAAGAACAAAACAACAACATGGATTTGCACAAGAGACTCCTTGACTTGTATATGGGAGAAGGTGAGAGTCATATGCCATCTACATAACATATATCCCCAGAATTGCAAGCCTTGGTATTCTTTATTTAATGCACATATTGCCTACGCTGGAAATGCTAATGAGGATGGCATCTAACCAGCAACAAATGATTAATGTGGGACCATTTAGATCCAAACACCATTCAGGTACTGCCTCTTTCACTGAGATCTAGTCATTCTCTCATCCAAGAAGAATATTGGAGAACATGAATTTATTTGTGACTATCCAGGACTATGGTGGCACGGTGGCTCAGTGGTTAAGACATTGGGCTTTTCGGCTGGAAAGCTGGCAGCCGGGGTTCAAGACCCGAGGGCCACATGATAGGGTGAGCTCCCTCCTTGCCAACCTAGCAGTTCAAAAGCATGCAAATGCGAATAGATAAATAGGTACCATTTTGATGGGAAGGTAACAGCGCTCCGCGATGCCGTGCTGGCCACATGACCACGGAAATGTCTTCCGACAGTGCTGGCTCAATGGCCTTGAAAGAGAGTTGGGCACTGCCCCCTCTAGTTGGCAAAGTAAATATTTGCAAGTAAAATCTGCAGGGACTCCTTTATCAGGACTATGCAGGACTTCACACTTGCAAGCAGGGGTGGGTTCCGGCTGCTGCTACTGCCGATTCGCTCTGGGACGTGCTTTGTGCATGTGTGCTTGATGTGCGCTATGCATGCCTGCACAGTACGCATGGGCAGAAGCAAAAACCAAGATGGTGGCGCATATAGTGCCACCGATAGAACCGGTTCAGAGCTGTGACAGGACGAGTTACTATCAACTCGGCTGAACAAGTCCAAACTGGTAGGAATCCACCTCTGCTTGCAAGGCAAAAGGATGTATTGAAGGGCACAAACATGGCACCTCTCTGCATTTCCTTGAAGCAGCAGTAAGAAAGGAATAGGAACTTTAGATGAAGAAACTGTAGAAAATGTGCCAATCACATTCACCCAATATTTGGTTCCACTATTCAAAATAAATGTGCAAATGACAAGATCCTAAGACATGGGTTGGTATTTAAAAGCACAATGTCTAGGTATGTTTACTTTTTTGTTCTATTCTTTAAAAAAAGGAGGAGGAAGATATATGTTAAAATTAAATATATATACTGAAAAGAAATTATAAATACCATCAACATAAAATGGAGCTCGCTCAGAAGCTGAACTACACCAAGTAAATGAGATGAAGAGTGGGAAGTAGAGGAGAGAGGTAAGGGAAGAAGAGAGGGATAAGAGAGAGGGCGGGTGGGAGGAAGAGGAGGAGAGAAAGGAGGAGTGGAAAGGGGAGAGAGGAGAAGAGGAAGGGGAAGTAGAGAAGGATGACAGAGGGAAGAAAGAAGGGAGGGAGAAGGAGGAGGAGAGAGGGAGAAGAAAGGGATAGATAAGGTACAGATATGGTGTATGGTGAGCAGAAGAGCCAATAATTGTTTTGGGGAGTTGATGGTAAGATGAATTGATGTGAACATTTAATAATACAATACAATGTTGGCTATGTAATAGTATACATGGGGTTATATATTATGAAAATGAAAAAACAATTTTTTTTATATACAGGTATCAAAGGCTCCAAGACTTAAGTGAGGTGGTTTTTTTGTTTGTTTATGTTAGTCTTGCCCCCCTAAATTGACATGTCCCTGTTGTTTTCTTGGCAATATTTTGGGTGATTTACCACTGCTTTCTTTATAGGACTGAGAGAAAGGGACTGGCCCAAGCTTTCATGTCTAAGGCAAGTGCAGACCTCACCCTTTCCTGGTTTCTATATCTTAACTATTAGACCAAACTGTTTCTCAGTCAATAATTACCTCAATGTAACTACAGAGGCTCCTCAACTTACAACAGTTTCATTAGTGATTCTTTGAAGTTACAATGGCACTGAAAAAAGAGACTTATGATCAGTCCTCACACTTAGTATCCCCATGGTCATGTGATCAGAATTCAGATGCTTGGCAACTGTCTCATATTTAAGACAGTTGTAGTGTTCCGGGGGTCCTGTCATTCTCTTTTGCAACCTTCCGACAAGCACAGTCCATGGAGAAAACAGATTTAATGACAGTGTGACTAACTTAACAATTTCAGTGATTCACTTAACCCCTTTGGCAAGAAAGGTTGCAAAATGGGGCAAAACTCACTTAACAACTGTCTTGCTTAGCAAAGGAAATTTGGGGCTTAATTGTGGTTGTAAGTCAAGGACCACGTGCACTGTATATGTATACCTTCAGAAATTAAAATCCGCAAACATCCAATATTTCAATGAAGATTGGTGATTGCTGATGGTGTCCTGTGTTGTTCTGGGTCCTGTGTTGGTTTTTGTGGCTGGGACATGTTTATTGACTAGGGCTAGTTTCCAGATGTCTGGTAGGCGGGAGGCATTGTCACGTTTATTCATGTTGTCGGGATGTTTCTCTATTTCGATAATAATTATGGAAGCTATCAAAATAGAGAAACACCCCCACAACATGAATAAACGTGGCGATATCTCCCACCTACCAGACATCTGAAAACCAGCCCTAGTCAACAAACGAGCCCCACCCACCACCCAGGTCATTACAACACAAAAGAACAACAGACACACAGCCAGCACCTCAGCCACACAGGATGATACGAAACTGCCGACCAATCTACAAACATCAACTCCATCTACCAATCAGGATGCAACTACACAGCCAATCAACCCACTTACAGCAACAAAGCTAGAATATATATATATATATACATATACATATACATATACATATACATATACATATACATATACATATACATA